TAGTGTAGCGTAACTAGGCATGTAGTGTAGTGTATTGTAGCTTAGTTTGGTATAAGTTACGCTAAATGTTAATGTCGACTCAGTTACGCTGTTGGCTAGTGGAAGTTTTGTTAGCTTGGAAAAAGTTACACTACTTGTTAGTTTAGTGGCCATTATTTCCAGCTAACACTAAAAAAAATTTGATGGAAAAATTTCACGCTACGCTGGCAGTTAGCTCAGCGGTGTGTAGCGTGAACTAACACTACAGGATTTCCAGCAAAAAAAAAAGCAGCTACGCTAACATGAATTGGCCAAATAGCGTAGTGTAGCGTAGCGGCCCACCGTTGCTACTGCTTATGCCTCAGTTTGACAAACCATTCAAATTATACGTTGACGCCTCAATGGAAGGACTTGGTGCAGCATTACACCAAGTCCAAATTATTGATGATAAACCTTATGAAGGACCAGTATGCTACATATCTAGACAGCTCAAAGATACAGAAGGAAGATATGGCGCCAGTCAACTTGAATGTTTGTGTCTCGTTTGGGCTCTGGAAAAGCTCCACTACTACCTTGATGGAAGTGTTTTCCAGGTCATCACGGACTGCACAGCACTTAAATCACTATTAAACATGAAAACACCTAACAGGCATATGCTACGCTGGCAAATTGCAATCCAAGAATACAGAGGAAATATGACCATTATCCATAAAGAAGGCAATTTACATAAAAACGCAGATGGACTAAGTAGATGGCCATTACCAAACAATGTGGATAATCCTGCCTATGACCAAGAGAACTTACCATCTAGCCTCCCAATCATGGGTATCAATGTAACAGACCTCAATGAAGAATTCTTCAATGATATTAGAGACAGTTACAAACAAGACAAAAATTGCTGGATAATCCTTCAACTTCTAGGAAAAGATTTTAAAGACAAAGATCTCTCCAACAGCCTAGAAGATGAATGGAAGAAACGTTACCAAGAAGGACGTTTTCATCTATTTGATGGAATACTTTACCACAGGACCAAGCATTCTTGTGTTATGGTCTTAACGGACAGAGAACAAATTAGCATTATGCTCCACGAATGCCACGACAGTGCATTTTCCGGTCATCTATCTGAAGATAGGACCATGGAAAAAGTCAAAACCTGTGCCTGGTGGCTTAATTGGAAGGATGATGTTGTGAAATATTGTTCCACATGTGATAGATGCCAAAAAGCCAACAGATCAACTGGTAAGAAATTTGGACTCATGATGAAGATTGAAGAACCATCCATGCCCTGGGAAGTGGTCAACATGGACTGGGTAACAGGACTACCTCCAGGAGGACAGAATAATTACAATGCTTGTCTTGTTATAGTTGACAGGTTTAGTAAAACACCAATATTCCTCCCATGCCACAAAGATGACACATCCATGGACACAGCATTAATGATATGGAACAGAGTTGTTTCATGGACAGGACTCTTCAAAGTAATTATCAGTGATAGAGACCCAAAATTCACTTCAGAACTTTGGCGCAACTTATACTCCTTATTTGGCACCAAATTATCTTTTTCCACTGCCTACCATCCACAAACAGATGGACTAGCGGAGCGTATGATCCAAACACTTGAAGATATGGTCTGCAGATTTTACGCATATGGACTAGAATTCAAAGATGCAGATGGTTTTACACATGACTGGGTCACACTATTACCTGCCTTAGAACTAGCTTACCGCACCTCAGTCCACAGTTCAACCAACAAAACACCATCCATGCTAGAAAAGGGCTGGAACCCAAGATTGCCACAAGATAGCCTTAGGAAAGACCTCATAGATATCCATCCTACTGCATCAAGCTTCAAAACCATGCTTGACAATGCACGCAAACATGCTACTAGATGTATGAATGATTCTCATGAATATAATAAACAAAGGTGGGACAAATCCCACAAAGAACCCAACTTTAAAATTGGTGACATGGTACTAGTATCAACTATCAACTTCAATAACATAAAAGGACCATGCAAACTAAAAGATGCCTTTGCTGGACCATTTGTGATTAGAGCACTACATGGCAAAAATGCAGTTGAAGTAGTACTAACCAAGGAATTTGACAGGAAACACCCTACCTTTCCAGTTAGCCTCATTAAACCCTATAAAGAAACAGATAAAGCACTATTTCCCCTTAGAACTGAAACTGAAATTATATCACCACCTATGGAGAAACAAGATCAGGGAAGCATAGCCAAAGTTATCAAGGAGAAGAGAGTCAGGGGACAGAAAGATAAATTTTACCTTGTCCGCTACAAAGACTCTAACAAAGAAGATGAATGGCTCCCAGAAAAAGAAATCCCAGAAAGGGAAAAACTCCTACGCAGGTTCAGACATGACAAAAGAACATCAGATAAAAAATGATATTATCCTTTTTTCGTTTTTTGGTGGTAGTGAATGTCAGCCTTGAGGTATATACATACCCATAGGCCTCAAAACATAAAATAATAAAAATAACAATCACAACTCATAGTCAAGTCTCAAGACTAGCCCAAGAAAAAATATTATAAATAATAAATTAATATTAAGCATAAAAATCTATATATAAAAGTGTATATGGTCAAAAGCCTGCAAATGACCACAAAGGCCTTTAAAAATAAAAATAAACTTTTTTTACTTTACTTAGAAAATAAAAACAAAATTCATGTAGTTACATACCACTGTGTAACTACATACTCAAAAAACAAAGAATTCTGTAAAATAATCAATAACTAAAGAGTTACAGACATTTAAAGTTACAGAACCAAATCAGCTGGTGACATAAACAAAGTTCACTGGATGCGAACTCAAGATAAACAAGGTTTCAAGGCTTGTGCAACATGTACAACCTTGTAGCTCAGCAACTATAGCCAAGTAACCAATTTGGGCCACATATTCTGAACCCTGACCAGCCACTTGGTCATGTAACCTGTTTTGTTTATCCCTAACCTTAATAACCTCTCTGAGCAAACTCAGAATATCCTCTTACATCAGCCATCCACCAGAACAACCCTGGTCCAGTTTGAAATCAACAGGGTTGAGAATTGGCCCATTTCAATCTGGCCCAAGTAGTTTAACCTGTTCTGAGCCAGTACATATCAGAATATCTCAACCAAATCCCTCCAAAATGGATTGGAGACGAAACAAAAAGTCTCCTTTGGGCATATAGAACCCCAGCAATAACTTGGCATTGCATCATTACTTCCTGACTGGGTAGCTGTACCCGTGGTTACAGTTACAACTGTTTCAGCCTTTGGGATACTGATAACCAAGGCCTTGGGCATGGCTTACACCCAGCCAAAACAAGCCCAAAGCATCAGTGTCATCGTGCAAAAATGCACTGCAAGCCACCCTCAGGTGTGTGGCTATATAAGGACTCCTTTATTGAGTGCTTAAACCTCAGAAATTCACCCACTTCACCATATATACTACTATATACTTGAAGCCAGCATTTCCAACCATTTCTCTTATCAACTTTATCATTCCAACCACAAAACAGAGCTCCTCTTTTACTGCTACCTTCAGCTTTAACCTGTAGCCTTTGCCCTTAAAAGATCCCAGCTCCTTATTCCTTTAAAATTGGCCATTTTCTTACTTTCTGTTGCAGAAGTATTGCTCTAGAAATTGCCCAGGAATCCTCAACTCATCCAAAAGACCTTTTTGGACGAATTCCTTGTGATCTATTGTCTAACAAACAATTCACCCTTCCTCAATTCCTCCTTTGGAATTCAGAGTATTGATTAAAACTCAACTCTAGGCCTCTTAACAAGTAATATTGTGAGGTTATAATTTCTTTGATTGTTTAAACAACAATCCCCTTTTTGTAAGTTTAAATATACTTTAAACTTTAAAAATTAATATAAAATTACTAACAAAAATTTATTAGGACAGGAATAGTACTAGAATTTCCTTCTAGTTTCATATCCAGACCTTACATATAGGTAGTTTTGTGTTTCTATGTACCCAGCTGCACATCCATCTATACAACCCACAAAGGTAACACCTTAGCTGGGGTAGCATATAAGAGACATGATTTAATTGTCCCGTTAAAGCTTCGACTTCATTGAAGGAGAATTTTTTCTCTGTTTCGAGAAATTCACCGATCTGTGTGATCCTTTGTGCAAGCTTTTCTTCTGGGAGGTGGACCGTTTTGTCGTGTGCGTCCCAGATAAAACCAATATACTTTTGCTCTCTCTTGAAGGGGGAGATCTTGGTGGGGTTCATCCGGACTCCTAGTTCGTCTGACCGTTTCACAATTTTGTCCATCTCAACTGTTGATTCTAACTCTTTTACAAAGAGGTAATCGTCTACCCACCTGAAGACCTCTACTAGATCGAATTCAGACAGCATTATGTGCTTCCACGCGTCTGCCGGTCTCCCAAATGAGCCGCAACCGGCAACGCCTCCAAAGGCAATTTTTGTGTCGATTATTATGTTGCCGTCGAAATCTCTGAGCATGAGGTACGGCCACTGATTTTCTGCTGTCAGGATTTGACGATATGCTTTCTCCCAGTCGAAGATTGCTAAGAGGGATGGTCTCTCCCGAGCCCTTAAGAATCTAGCGACGGCTTTGTAATCGTCCCATGTTGTTTTGAATTCATCCTTGTTTACGAACGAGTTCACGGAAGGGATTTTCTTGTCTCCATGTGGGAAGGACAAGTCGTTGATTGCTCTGAACGAGCCGTCTCCGTTGATTACTGCTCCTAGCGGGTTTGCACGGAAGAATCCGTACTTTGCGTGAACTTGTTTGGGTGAGTATGGACCAAACATTCTTTTAGCTTGAATCTCTTTTGCGATGGATTCCTCGATTTTTGCTCTGGCGAGAAGCGCTGAGCTGTGGTTTGGGGGTACAAAGAATGGGAACTCGCTTCCCAGGTGGTGTTGAGGGATACCTTGGCAGAAGCCGTGCTCGAAACCGAGTAGTACGTCTTCAAATTCGGTTGTGAGATTTGCTTTTTCTAAAGCTTTCTTCCATTCTGGTATGTTCATGTCACACTCGATGCCGCTCGGCCAGGTGCCTTCAACGGGTAGCTCCTTTTGGCACTCGCTTACTTCACTCACTGCCATGTATGGTTGCTCACTTGGGTCCGTCTCACTGTATTAGGGGCACAATAATTCATGACTATTCAGAAATGCATTACTTTGTAATCTGAGATAAGGGACTATTTACAAGCATCGGGTCTTTTTTTTTTTTTTTTTTTTTTTTTTTTGGATAACAATTTAGAGTATCGACTTGGGTACTGAGGAGATCATAAAGGAAGGCATAGGATTTTTTTTTTTTTTTTTTTTTTTTTTTGAAGTGTGGGAAGGGTGTAGGGCGGGATAGAAAAGAGGAAAAGGTGGGATATAACCTACGGTCCGTTGTTGTTGTTCGAGTTGCGGTTTTGATTACCGCCTTGCCTTTGTTCCGCATAGTTCGGGTTGAAATTTTTTCCTTGATAACCGGAGCTTCTTGCCGGTCGGTTGTCTCTAGGCTTGGGGGGGAGCGTGTTGGTTGAGCCCGAAGGTCCTGTCGGTGTTGGTTTGACGGAAGACTGTTGACCGCTTGCTTTCTTGTTTTGGTTTGAGCCGGTGTGTGGGTCCCAGCCGCTTCTCACTCCTCCAATTGCGTATGGGTTTGAGTCACAGAAAGATAACTCGTCGAAGCGTCTTGCTTCGGCGTAAGCGGTGTCGTAAACCTCTTGTCTGAACATGGAAATGTCAGAGAAGGAAGAGACTCCGTTACGTACTACCCTGTGGGCAAAGGCGTTTGCTCGGATTCTGATGTCGTAGCGTAGCGCCGTCATGAATCCGTCTTTCCGGAGGATTTTGTCACAGTTGGCCTTGTGCAGTACAATCCATTCACCTAGAGTTTCGAATTTATAAACATCTCTGATTGTGATGGTGAACTCTTCGTAGTTTAGGCTCCAGTCGCTGTAGTTCATCAGCCATTCACTCGGATAGGGATAGCCAGTGTAGCGGAGTCCTTTTTCCGTCGAGTTGTCGTCGGTCTTGGTTCTTTTCTCAGCATGGTATGAGAGGGCTGCGTCTTGCCATGCCTTGTTGAAAATCGTCAACGGGATTGGTCCCTTGAGCTTGGTGATGTTCTTCTCAAAATATGGCGTGAACCCGACGTCCTCATGGGAGTTTTTGTCTCCCCAGTGAAAGTTGGTGCCTCCGACTGTGGTGTTCTTCCGGGACCCTTTCACTGGGTGGTCGGTTGTTGCCCCAAACATCGAAATGGACTCTGTGTCTTTAGTGGCAACGGGTCCTCTATGGAACGTGAAGCAAGTTAGGTCGTCAGAGTTGTGCATTAAAGCTTTGAATCTCTTCCTTTAATCTTTCTGCTGCCGCGTATAAGTTATAGAACATATCGGATCTCGCCTTATCGCCTTCTCCTTCGGCTTTGAGCGCTTTCTCGAGGAATTTGGCTGTCGCTTCATCCCTGAGACGTTCTGCTTTATTCGACTCTGATATAATCTGGATATCATCTTTGTCGTTTACTAGGGACAAGACAGTCGTGATATTGTCAGCGGTTTGCTTTCTACTCTATCTTTTTTTTTTTTTTTTTTTTTTTTTTTGGGCCTTAATAAAAAAACCCGCATTTTCCGTGTTTTGACGCGCTTTTGCTGCGGCACAGCACACGCGCATTCTGCTTTTAAACCCGCATTTTTAATTAATTTTTTTTTGCCATTAATTTTGAGTTTTTTTGATTTTTTAAAATTTTTTCCTACACTTTGAAGGGTGTAGAATTTAATGGTAAAGTCTATTTACCATAAAAATGACTTTGATTTTTTTTTTCTGCTTACTCATTTTTTCAATTAATTGTTTGCATGCATGTATGTACCTTATTTTTTATGCTTTTTTGAAATTTTAAAATTATTTCCTAGGTTTCAATGTGTGCAGAATTTAATGGTGCAATCCAATTTTTTTAAAACTCAACGGTTCATTTTTAATACTGAAATTAGACCCATTTTTTCACTTAATTTTTTACAGCTTAATTCTCATCATTTTTTGACATTATAAATTTATTTCCCACACTTTAAGACATGTAGAAAATGATGGTAACAACCATTTTTCCCCAAAATGAAAACTATACCTTGAATGCCACATTTGACACGTTTTTTTTAATTAATTCATCACTTTTTCACTTAATTGTTTGCATACATGTGTGTACCTTATTTTCTATGTTTTTTTGAAATTTTAAAGTTGTTTCCTACATTTAGAAGTGAGTCAAATTTAATGGTAAAACTCAATTCCCATAAAACTCAACAGTTCATTCTGGATACTGTAATTGTCACATTTTTCAATTGATTTTTAAGAGCTTAATTTTCATTATTTTTTGACATTTTAAATTTGTTTCCTACACTTTCAAACATGTATAAAATTATGGTAACAATCATTTTACATAAAAATCAGCACTTGTTACTGAATACTGCAGTGGACAGGCTTTTTTTAATGTTTTTTTGATTGATTTTTACCGGCCTGATTTTAAGCATTTTTTTTATTTTAAATTTATTTCCTACATTTACAAATGTTTAGAATTGAATGGTGAAGTCCAATTTCACTCAAAATACAAGCTTCAATCTTAATAGATGAGCGTACCCTGTTTCTTGCATAATTTGTACCATATACAAATTTTATTTGAATGCAAAATGGATACAGCCATCAATTTTGAAACCTTGAAAAGTGTAGGAAATGAGCTTGGAATTCCAAAAAGTAAGGATAATTGAGCGTGTAAGAATTAATTCAGGAAACACGTCAAAGGCATTATTCAAGATATATTTTTCATTTTGATGAAAATTCATTGTTACCATAATTTTATACATGTTTGAAAGTGTAGGAAACAAATTTAAAATGTCAAAAAATAATGAAAATTAAGCTCTTAAAAATCAATTGAAAAATATGACTAATTACAGTATCCAGAATGAACCGTTGAGTTTTATGGGAATTGAATGTTACCATTAAGTTTTACACACTTTTAAATTTAGGAAACAACTTTAAAATTTCAAAAAAGCATAGAAAATAAGGTACACACATGTATGCAAACAATTAAGTGAAAAAGTGATGAATTAATTAAAAAAAACGTGTCAAATGCGGCATTCAAGGTATAGTTTTCATTTTGGGGAAAAATGGTTGTTACCATCATTTTCTAAATGTCTTAAAGTGTGGGAAATAAATTTATAATGTCAAAAAATGATGAGAATTAAGCTGTAAAAAATTAAGTGAAAAAATGGGTCTAATTTCAGTATTAAAAATGAACCGTTGAGTTTTAAAAAAATTGGATTGCACCATTAAATTCTGCACACATTGAAACCTAGGAAATAATTTTAAAATTTCAAAAAAGCATAAATAATAAGGTACATACATGCATGCAAACAATTAATTGAAAAAGTGAGTAAGCAGAAAAAAAAAATCAAAGTCATTTTTATGGTAAATGGACTTTACCATTAAATTCTACACCCTTCAAAGTGTAGGAAAAAATTTCAAAAAATCAAAAAAACTCGAAATTAATGGCAAAAAAAAATTAATTAAAAATGCGGGTTTAAAAGCAGAATGCGCGTGTGCTGTGCCGCAGCAAAAGCGCGTCAAAACGCGGAAAATGCGGGTTTTTTTATTAAGGCCCTTTTTTTTCACTTACTGTGTTTTGCTCCTAACAAGGTAGCTAGACCGTTCGGTTGGTTGTTTTGTCTTTGGCTGCCATCCGATCCCGTCGGGCCTGACTCTTTAGCGTTGGTGCCATTGGGGTTTGACTTCGACGTTCTACTCCTTTTCTGGCTTTCTCTCGCGTTTGAATTTTCGGTCGTGGTCGCGGTATGGTTTGCGGATGGGGTTACGGATTGACTGGGATTTTGGGTGTTTGTGTTTTCGGAAGAGTTGTTGGTAGGATCTGGTAAAGTAGGGTTGGGGACAAGTAAAGTAGAAGATGGTGTAGCGGTGGAGTCGACGGAGGGGTTTGAGCTTTGCTCGTTGGCGGGGGTTGGTTGTACGTCATTGGTACCGGGTGTGTTGGCATCCCTCATTTGGGTAGAAAGATTGACTAAGTTATTAGGCATAATGAATATCTTGAGTAGTTTAAATTCAAAGAAAATCTAGGACCGATAATTCTAGGCGTCGGCAAGCTAGGAAAAGGGGAGGGGGATGGGATAAGGAGGGAAGGGGTAGCGGCTTGGTGGGAGGAAGAGCCTGGGGGCAAGATCCGAGGAGGGAGAGACCGGTGCTATTAAGCCGTAGCCTCTGACGACTCGCTGTCTCCTTTGGCCTTCGATAACGGGTCTGTATTTGATCCGCCGACATCTCCTCCGTCTATGGAGGTACGGTCGAGGACAATTGAATCTTGCTAGCTCAGCCACTAGCTTGTTACCCAAGCCACCTTGTGGATACAGTGTATACCTCGGCCGGAACTAACCGGTTCCTTGGACGACACCCAACTCCCACTCCGTTCCCGTTAACCTAACATCCAAGGGTGTGCCTTCCAAACCCTCCATGTACGTTTATTTATGCGCCCAGTGTCAAAATATGAATCAAGTTAACCTGAATGTTCCCCCAACTCTTCTGTGATTGATCAGAGCTAATCCACCCAGAAATCAAAATTTTCAAAGAGTTGAAGTTCTTGTTCATGGCTTTTACGATCTTGTTGCCTACCAGCTTCACTCCCATGCCTGAGATTTAGAGATGGTCGGATGGCAATTTCAGCAAAATTGCACATCCGCATCCGCACCCGCACCCGCTAGCGGGTATCCGTCGGCCGCAGCGGGTATCCTCGGATACCCGCCCTCTAAAGGGCCGGCAACGGACCGGCTGGAAGGGCTTCCTTCCAGCCGTCGAGGTAAGGGTGTCCCTCCAGTCGACGAGGTACATGTACCTCGCCGGCTGGAAGGGCTTCCTTCCAGCCGGCCATGTCCCCTTCCGGCCGCGGGTATCCTTTGGGATACCCGGATACCCGCCAGCAATTTGCGGAAAAGGGGCCATCCGCACCCGCTGGCGGGTATCCGTTGGCACAGGTGGGTATCTGCCAGCGGATAACGGGTATCCGCGACGGATACCCTTAGACCATCTCTACTGAGATTATCTGGGGGAAGTGGAATGAAACCATCATACTCAATTTGAGTGTCTGGCAGATTTCCACTCTAGTGATTGATGGTTGCATTCCTAACACCACCTGGAGTGCTAAGCCCATCATGAGGTTTAATAGACAGCCGATCAGTTGGACCCATTTCCCACTTGATATATTGTTGGCTAGGCTTTCAATTTGACCATTCTGCTGCTGGGTATACGGTTGATAGAGGCATGATCTTTAAGATGAGTTTAAGCACACACTTGAGTCACGACATGCAATTTGGCAACGAAGCTTGGTGGACTAATATACTGTGATTTCTAACCCTTTTTAAGGCAGCCTCAGGAAAGAGAATTCTTACAAAACTGCACTAACGCAGCTGTGTTAAAATCTGGCGGATTACCTTCAGCGTGAACAAATCCAGCAGGTGCGTTCAGATGACAGACTTACTTTTTTGTCAGGGTTCTCCCAAACAACAAGCACAGGAATCAAGTGCGCTGCCTAGATGGGACTGTTAAACATCCATTATGTATTTAGCTAATAAATCCATATTTCTCATGGGTTTATTTCTATTTTCATATTTTCACACATTTTATTTCTCTTTTTTCTCATCATCACATGCTTGTACGTACAAAAAATACATATAAGTAGTGGTGCTCTGATGGAAATACATCTTTCCCTTGGGGGAATTTTCATTTTTATTTTTATCCATGGTCTTGCCTTAACAGACTGCACCCAACAACTAAGCTTCAAGGTGCAATTTGAACCCTTGATATGCAACAGCAAAAAGGTTGTCCATTACCAATGCTTGCAATCTACCTCCACTAATCAGCAAAGAAAATTGTTCTAATCCAGGGTGTGTGTGCAACAAATTTAGGTCAAAGAAAAAACAAACATTAAACACATTGCTCAATTATCAAGAGTACAAGTTCTGTCTGGTTGTATGTAGGGCTGATAATGTGGCAAATGTTGCAAATGTATGTAACAATACTGCTTTTGGGGAAAGGATGGGGAAGCAACAACAGTTATTTATTTTGGTATGACTCAACAGCCTCAGCCACAACCATACAGATATACAGGGATTGAAACTCACACAGTAAAATTTTTAGTTGAGCCAGAGTAATTATCTCAACTGATCTTAATTTTGCTTGTTTTTACATTCTACGTCCTTTTTTTTTTGGATAAGCTTGTGCATTGCAACACACTTTTTATGTCTGGGCCAATGTAGCTCAACTAAGCCCTTTGAATTCTTCTTGGAAAGGGACTTCATGAGGAGATATTCTGTATGTGATGATCTCAGTCAGCCCTCAGTATCATTCAAAGTTTGAAGAAATGATTCTCAATTCTTGAAAATCATCCGGCTAATTGTTTTTTACCCTTCCAGACATTGGAAGACTTCCCATTAACATCTGTGGGTCTTGCAGAGACAATTTAGAGCCTTGAAATTCAACTTCCTCTGCAAGAATTATGAGCTTTTGGGTCTAGCTTGACTTCTGCAAGGGTCCCAGATCTGACGGGAAGTCCTCCATTGTCAGCTTAGAAATAAGCATGGCAGCCAAAAGCTGCATGTAAAAGTACTGGTATGTTCCCTTATTTTTGAAAATGTTGAATTGATAACCTTTGAGGGGGAGGGGTCAAGTGAAGGGCTTCCTGTCACCTGAATTTCTTATTTTAAAAGAAAGTCCTAAACTCTATTGGCTGGTTAAAACTTGATATCAATTGATTTCACCAGCAAATAACATTTAGAATGCCCTTATAAATTCACAAATTTGGACAATGGGGAGTCCTCCAGTGAGTTGAGCACCCCTCTCAGTCTAACCTTGGTGTCAATGTTAGAGAAAATCTACCACAGACTCACAGACACTACAAAAAGTATTGCATCACATGTGAAAATGCGCGGTAACATTGCATGTCAAAATGCGATCCAACACTTTTTGTCGTGAGAGTGTCAAATGTGAGTGTAAAACTTGCTCAATGCATCCCCAGTTTTGATTTTCAAAGTTCAAAGTGGGTATGGTCTGCGTCTGAGCCAGGTAAATGGGGATGCACAATTTTGTGATACTTGTGAGTGTGAGTGTGAGTGTGAGTTGGGGGATGACAATTTATTGATGGTTAAACCCTAGGGGCACTTCTTGCCATGCAGGATTGTGGATCCAAAAAAACACAGCTGATCTCACTACAAAAAGTGTTGGATCACATTTTGACAATGTGTGGTAAAATCACATGTCACATGCAATGTCACCCCGCATTTTCAAAATGTACTTGAATGTTTAGCCGGTAGCCCTAGCAATTCAATTGCATTTTGAAAATGCAAGGTGACATCACATGTGACATGCAATGTTACCGGGCATTTTCACACGTGATGCAATACTTTTTGTAGTGTCTGTGAAATCCACAAGGTCAGCTCTGTAAAAGTTTGGTATAAGCTCCTGTAATCTCAAATTTCTTTTTGGTTCCATGAACCAAGCTTTTTTTTTGATGGTTCCACAAAGCCATGTCTGTGTCTGAGTTGGTCAGGAAAACATGAGCTTATTTCCCACATTGATTCCACAATATCCAACCCTCATGAACAATTTTTTTTGTTTACAGAGTCAAAACAATCCACATACAATGAGTGCAATTTGATTTGGTCTCAGAAGGGGGATCCCCTGCTATATTGGTGTAGACCAGTGGTCAAGGGTCCCTGTTTTCAATCAGTGAACTCAGTCCAATGGCTGGGTTCAATCCTTGCTGGAGTACCTTTTGGGGACAGTGCTTTTTCTCTAACTGTGGCCCAACCAGCTTGCTTGTTGGCTCCCCACAGTGGCTGCTTGTGGTATTTACCGGTAAAAGTGATGTTGGCCCATGTGGGTGTGTTCCCTAGGTATAAGTTTCAAAAAAAGTGTAGTTTCATAGGATGTTGAAGGATAGAGACAAGCTCAACTAATCCTTTCTGGAGGAGGCGTGAATTATCTCTCAAGGAGAGACTTAAAACTAAATTGAAACCTGCGGCCTGAGGCTGGCACTGCAGTCTTGACAAAGAAAATAACACAATTTCATTCACATCTCTCCCATTCCTAATCCTCACCTTAAGAATACCTAAAGAGACCTTGTTGCAACGGTTTAAATGATGCAATGCATGCTTTGGCATCTCATTGCATTGTGTGGGTGATGTGGGGGCCTTGCATTGCATTGCCCTCATTGAAAAAAAAAACTGATGAGGAGTATTGCCATTGCATCAGTTCAGTGATTCAATGCAATGCATCATAGTTTGGGATAATTTCCAATATTATTTATTGGTGTACATTGCCAAAAATATAACAAATCACCATTTGCATCACTTTCCAATAAGATGCCAATGCAATGCATCACTTTTTTGAAGCTATGCATTGGTATTGATTTAGTGTGTATTGCTAAAGCAATGTTAAAACAATACATGGTGATTTATCACATTTTATTTTATTGTTTCACTGTTGCTTGTTGTAGCCCTTGATCTCAGCTTTTGTTAAGTATTTAAATCTAGAACTGGAAACTCTGCAGCAATCTTGCAAGACCTATTCCTGAGCAATGCAACTGTGCCCTTGTATTATCAAAAGGTGAAGATTAGATACATTCTCACATTTTATTTGTTTTTAAATGAAGACAGACATGTGTCTGTTCCCTATACACATATTGATAAACATACACCACTGGTGCAGTGGGGCCCATTTGAGTTGTCTTTTTTTTGGCAACCTGAAGCTGTCATTTAATTGTCTATTCAAAAGCAGCTGTCAGCATAAATTTCTGTCTTCCAGGCAACTTGAGGAGCATCCCTCAGTTGAATCCAAAGCAAGTCAATTTGCCCCCAAGGCACCTTCTCAATTTTTCCATTGCAGATCTCAAATTTGCCTTGGAGGTGGCTGTTGGTAAGCTCAGTAAAAAGAATTTATACATCTGGGGAATTGAAAACAAATCAGCCCTTGATCAGAAAGGGCAGGATGCCTTCCACCTGAGCCATTGACAAATAAAATAAAAGCAACCATATTTGGTAGGTTCATAATATTTCCAACTTCTCAATTCACTTTGAGAAACTTCAGGGATTTCCAAGCTGACTTGCAATGCACTGAGAATTGTACCCTGCCTCAGAAATCAATGAAGGTATTTTAGGCAAATTTGGGACCATGGTCAGTTGCTCAAGTTGTCTCAGAAATAGGGTTTTTGGTGCCATGTTTGAAAGAAGTGTGCACCCAGGGGTGCCTAGCAAGCCTTCCAAAGGGGTGTG